AAAATTTAATGAAGAAATTTTCACTGTAGGTCCAATCACAGATTTAATCCCTAAAACCAACCCACTTTAAATTTATTTATGAGAATCGACCCACTTTGGGTTAATTACGGTACTAATTAGTCGGGGTTGCCAACTCCGACTAATTAGTAACCTAATTATAAGCGGGGTCAGGGAGCAGGGAAGGTCTGCGGTTGCTAATTAAGCTACTAATTAGTCGGGGTTGGCAACTTCGACTAATTAGTACCGCAATTAACTCAAAGTGAGTCGATTCTCATAAATAACTTTAAAGTGGGTCGGTTTTAGGGATTAAATATGGGAATGAGTCTACAGTGAAAATTTCTTCAAAAATTAAAAGGCACCTTATTAAAATATAATTTTATCTATTAATTACTTCTAAATTAACTTATCCAATTGATTTAGTATATTATTATAATATAAATATTATTTTACTTTATATTAAAATAGAATATATTGTACTATACTTACAAATTACTATTATTAATTATTATATTGTATTTGTTAAACCCTAGAGGGGGGTGATTAGGGTCTTATGCTAATCTAATCCGATTTTATGCTAATTAAAACTAATTAACAAGTTATCCTAGCAGGTATGAAATACAATAAGATATATGAGCTAGGATAAGCAATATGAACAAAGAGATATATCCTAGCAATGAGATCTAAGCACAAATGAAACGCCAAAGCAAACTCAAACACAAGCAAATGATCACGGAGTTCGGACCTTCCGTCCTACGTCTCCGCTCCCCACTCCCGGGGAGAAATCCACTATCACAACCGGGTTTTCTACGCTCACCCGAATAACGTTTACAACCACACTATGTCGGTTTTCAACGCTCACCGATCAACGTACACAATCACTCACAATGTCGGTTTTTAACGTTCACCGATCAACGTCCACTCCTCACACTCGGTTTTCTAGCTAACCGAAAACTTTATAATCTCACAATTATAACAAATAATAGATTTGTTCCATACAATAGATGAGAACTCAATATAGCTCACTCTCAATTGTTACAACTCCCCACAACCCAAATTATACTATGAATGTAAATACAATAAGCTCAATGGTTGTGTGTGTAAGCAATGAAAAAATAAAATCAATTCTAAACTCAATATAAAAACTAGCTTTAAAGAATGATAATCAAATAACTAAGCAAATGTAAAGCTAGAAAAGAGTTTAGAAAACTTCTCAATAGATGAAGAGGTAGAGGAAGAGTAGTTGGATGCTCAAACACCAATACATAATCTCCTCAAGCTATTGTGAAAGTTATCTTCACAAAACCAAACTTCCAAATGCTTAAAAGCTTTTAAACAAACTTAAACCAAACATATACCTACTTAAACACCCTTATAAAACTTGTTTTAAAACTTCTTGGATTGCTAAGAGAACTGAGATCAATGGGGTATTTATAGCCTCCCAAAACCTCAGCCAAAAACTCCAAACAAAAGACCAAAAAGCTCACAGAATCGGAAATCAGATTCTGTACAAAAATAGCCGTTGGAGTGAACGACGGTCGACTGTGAAAATCTCGCGGTCGACCGCGAGCCACTTTCGAAACTAAGAATTTTCCAGAGACTTTGGCGAAATCCGAGCTGACGGTCGACCGTGGCGGTCGACCGCGAAAGTTTATGTTTGACTCCGCAGGTAAAAACCTCCATTGGATATGATCATGAATGTGCAATTTTATCCATCCTCTAACTTATTGTTTGTCTATAATGAATACAAAACACAAACACTAGACAAACAATATTAGATGTAAATTATTTGTTAAATCATCATCAAAACAAAAAGGCCAACAATCTCCCCCTTTTTTATGATGATAAATAATTTACAAAAAGGATATATGCATGAAAGAAAATGAATATACAATATTGTAATTATTATGCGTATAAACAAAAAGAATATACTCACAAAATTTCTCCCCCTTTGACAACATCAAAAAGGGGATAAAGGGATGAAGAGAGCGAAAGCTCCCCCTATCAATATGCATGGGTGAGTATAACACATAGAAAGATATAGGGATTGCCCCCCTATCAAAATTGCGCATTCACGATCATTCAAGATATAGCGAAAGCTCCCCCTATCAATATGCACGGTCGACCGCCAAAGTCTCTGGAAAATTCTCAGCTTCGAAAGTGGCTCGCGGTCGACCGCGAGATTTTCACGGTCGACCGCCGTTCACTCCAACGGCTATTTTGGTACAGAATCTGATTTCCGATTCTGTGAGCTTTTTGGTCTTTTGTTTGGAGTTTTTGGCTTTGGGAGGCTTTAAATACCTCATTGATCTCAGTTCTCTTAGCAATCCAAGAAGTTTTAAAACAAGTTTTATAAGGGTGTTTAAGTGGGTTTATGTTTGGTTTAAATTTGTTAAAAAACTCAGGTGCAGTCGACCGTGGCGGTCGACCGCAAACTGATACATGAACAGAACAATTTGAAAGTTAATTTTCTGATTTTAAAACCCTGTTTAAAAATATCAAATAAATTCAGAAAAATGTAAAACTTTGGGAAATGATTATAGACATGATAATACACATGCTACAAAAACTGGTTTTCAAAAAGGACCTCCCAAATAAAAAATATCATCATTTTGTAAAATAGTCCAAAACATGAAAATGTGAACATATGAGTTTTGACATTTTAGCTTAATCATGTTTTGAAATAATACAAAACGATTTTGTAGACTTAATAAAAGATATATATAATGATTGTTAAGTCTATAAACTGAGAATACAATATTTTCACAAATACAATAGAAAATAAAACATATGAGTATGTATATGAAAATATATTTGTTTCATATCTAAGTAGTTAAACCAAATCACAATAATAAATATGAAATATGTAATTTTATATTTATAAACATAAAAACCAAAACTTGTGTTGTATATATATATGACTGCATATATATACAAGGAAACTAATAAAATGTGTGCGTATATGATATTGAGCTTAACGTACTAACACACATAATATAAAACCTAAACTAAATTACCCAAGCTATCTTAATCTTCATTATAGCTCAACTTGGTAAACTTACGGATGAAGCTTGAACTTGGATCTTCAACTTGAATTGTATGGCTTCACTCCACAATTCCGCCAATCTCCATTGGATATGATCGTGAATGCGCAATTCCATCCATCCTCCAACTTATTGTTTGTCTACAATGAATACAAAACACAAACACTAGACAAACAATATTAGATGTAAATTGTTTATTAAATCATCATCAAAACAAGAAGGCCAATAGTATTGTATTATATTATATTAGCATGCTATACTATATATAATAATTAATATAATATAATATCAATATATTTAATATAATATTTTAATATAATACATTATTTTATTTATACAAAAATATAATATGTTATACAATAATTACTAATTAACATTATATTAGTATGCTACATTATATAATAATTGATATAATATATGAATAATATATATAATATAATACTTTAATAATATATTATTTAATTTAATATATTATAATATAGTATCATAGGATATAATGTACTTTATAAAATATTATAATATTTTACTTTATTCAATGTAATTTTTTTTAAAATATATTAAAATATTATATAATATTATAATAAATACGTTATACTATAATTACTAATTAATATTATATAATAATATATTACATAATACTATTAATATATGTTATTAAAATATTATATATATGTTATTAAAATATTAATATATGTTATTATATAATATTATTAATATATGTTATTAAAATTTTAATATATATTATTAAAATATTATATGATATTATAATAAATACGTTATACTATAATTACTAATTAATATTATATAATAATATATTGTATAATATTATTAATATATGTTATTAAAATATTATGTAATATTATAATAAATACGTTATACTATAATTACTATTATATAATATTTTAATATATGTTATTAAATTATGTTATTAAAATATTAATATATGTTATATTTTATATATCATATCATATATTTATAATATAATTAGCATGTATTAGTTAAGTAATACAAAAATATTTTAAAATTATCCCAATTGCCTACAAAGTGGAACAACATTGTTCCAATATGGAGGATGGGGTAAATTTGGGGTAATTATGAGGAAGGGGTGGAGGAGATCTTTATATAGTTGGTGTATTTTAGGGGAAAGTAGAGTATTTGTCCCCCAATTACCCCAACAAACCAATAACATCACAAAGTTAACTCCAATTCCAATTACCCTAATGAATAACACCACAAAGTGATGTTCCAAAAATTATCTCATTATCCCCTAAATTACACCAATGAATAACCCCCTTTAGTTTTAGACTTCGCGCACTGGTCTTTCCTGTCATTCTTGCATACCCTAACAAAGTTTTTTCCCCTGTAATTTCCCCTTAAGATTATAAATCCTAAAATTTTGAAATTGGGAACCAACCAGCCCCTAGTTGGCTCAAGACACATTAATAATGGTACAATGTGACACATCGTGACAAATAGTCCCATACTCAAATTTCCAAACATGAAGTCTCTCCCTCTCTCTCTCTCTCTCTCTCTCTCAATCGAACATATCTTAAAAGAGTGGCCGCTCATCTCTCCTGCAAGCGCCGCGTACGTCTCTCCCCCAAAACAACTGTAAAATCCCTAAAAAAACCAAACGAAAGAAACCGACGAAAGAAAGAACAAAAGAGAGAGGGCGGCGCTAAATTCCGTCCATATCCGTACCCATTCCTTCCTTTGCGAGTCTCTCCCCTCTCCCGGGATCCTGCGAACAATTGGCCAATTTAAAAGTGGACAAAAAAAGAAAAAAGCCCCCACCCCCGCCTCCATCCTCGACCCCACATTTTTACAATAAAGGATAAACTCGCGTCACTGTTGACGAATGGATAATGATTCTTTAAATTCCTTTTTTTATTTTATTTTAAGGCCTCGCTCATTCCCCTCTCTCTAATCTGTCTCTCTGCTTCCCTTTCTCAGTAGTAATAACTCCGAGCCCCATGAGGCGCCGACCTCATCTGCATAGCTCCCCTTTTCTTGCTCTATAAAATTGAACAGTGATTTCTGAACCTGGGCCGCCATTTCCCGATCTGGGTTTTTGTTTATTTTCGTTTTTGAGAAATGGGTACTTAGTTTCTTCATGGGTTTTTTTCTTCTTCTTCTGGAATTGAGATATATTGATATTTTTTGGCACTCATTTTGTTGGGATTTTGAGTGATTGTTGATTGGTGTTGCAGGGGGTTGGGGTTCGGTTGGCAATGGGCGAGCTCTGCGCTGAAACTTGGTTTTTGTTGTAAGTATTTGTCAGTTAGATGTATGTTGTTTCTATGGATAAGTGGAATCAAATTGGTCACCTGTTCATATTGTATTCTCATTTGTGTGTTGTCAAAATACAATCTGGGGCCTTTTTTTTGTGACAACTCGTGTTATTATATAATCTTTCTTCATGTTTAAGAGTTTTAGTGAACGATTCACTGACTAACTACATCTTCAGATAGTAATTAACCAGTTACATTAAATTTCTTGATGGCTTCTTCATTTGGTCATAGATCTTTTTCATGAAGAAATGCAGACCTGTTTATACCCGGAAATTACCAAGGCCAATAAGAGCCGCTACATGACAATTAACTCATCGACACATCCGCAAGCATGACCCGGATGGTGAGTCGACCGACTCGTCTCGTCTTGTGGTCCGGCTCCGAGGCAAAAGGCGATCGCGACCAAGATCCTACTGGATGTCCGATGAAAGGCGTTCTCTCCTCGGACCAAACACAAGGCGTCTCGGACAGTGGAACTACCTGATAAGCGTTATCAAAAGTCACAATTGCGCAGTCCGCACCCACACTTCATCGCCTAATCGTCATCAAGCACTTAATATGGTATCAGTCATTATGACCTTTCGAGCCAGAGCCTTCAAAATTCCTTGGACACGCCATTACTTCAACAATCCCATCGTTGTGCAAAGGAGACTTAGCCAATCAGCTAACAACACGTGTAAAATAGGGCCTTTATCTACATGCTTTTGTAAACCCTCTATAAATAATGACGGTCTCCACTAAACCAATGTATGTATTTTTACACATAAAAAGTCAAATAGTCTTATACTCTATTTTTCTTTTTAGATTAACTAGAAATAGTCACTGACTTGAGCTTCGGATGGCACGCTGAAGGTAATAACTTCCAATGCCTCTAATCTCTGTTATCTGTGTAGCGATGAACAACGTAAAGATCCAAAACAGGAGAATCAACCATCCAAGGCGATTAAGGGACCCAAAAAACGAGTTTAACCCTCCTAAGTAACGCATCAATTTCGCGATGTAAAAAGTTTGGCGTCCACCGTGGGGCTTTTTCTTCTCCTTTTGAAGAAATTGTTGATCTCCGATTTTCAGACCTCAAAACCAGAAGCTGCCACCGTTGCTCAACTCTACGACAGCAAAGAGTCCGCCAAAATGACAAATGGAGAACAAAGCTAAGGAAGCATTAGGGTTGTCATAAAATGAAAAACATTTCGGAGAATGCCCCCCTGAAATCTCTTGTCGTTCGATCTTCATCGGCTTGGTAATGAAGATCAAGCTTTTGGTATCTTTTCAGAGTAAAATCGAGACACGAACCAAGCCCTTAGTATCGTTATCACGACTAAAATCAAGGCAATGAGCTCTTGTTGTTCGATCTTCATTGACTCGACAATGAAGACCAATCTCTTGGTATCTTTTAACAGTAAAATCAAGGCACGAACTAAGCCCTTGATATCGTTCTCATGAGTAAAACCAAGGTAAAGAGCTCTTGCCGTTCGATCTTCATTGACTCGGCAACAAAGACCACACTCTTGTTATCTTTTCAGAGTAAAACCAAGGAACGAACCAAGCCAAGCTCTTGGTATCATTCTCACAAGTAAAATCAAGGCAAGGAACTCTTGTCGCTCAATCTTCATCGACTCGACAATGAAGATCAAGCCATTGGTGTCTTTTTGGAGTAAAGCCAAGGCATAAATAGGAGAAGTTGTAGCTACGCCCTAGCCTCCAACAAGCCTTAGGTGCATAATACCAAGGAACCACACGCTCTTCACCGATATACCTAGAAGACAAAGGACTCACGAATCGGTCCTCACCGACTCGTTTGAAATGTCCCGAGAACCAAAAGCACAAATGAGAAATTACTCATAAACCAAGTGCGAAAGAAGCAAGTCACCAAAACAAAGTCTTTTCATTTATTTCTCAAAAAAAAGAAGAAAAGTGTATTACAGACTTCCTTACAAATGACTTGCTACAAAACTTACATTCTCCTCAAGAAGCAGTGTCTGGAGCATGAGCCTAAGGCTAATCCAAGCCGGGCACATCCGATGGAAGGGAATTAGGCTTCTCGGATGAAGACGGGTTGACGTCATCATCTAGGTCCTCCCATGCATCTTCGCCAGCAACCTTCTCCTCACCCCTTCATCGGCAACTTCCTCGTCCTCCTGCGCCATCTCTAATCTGCCTTGCACCCCAAGCGTCCTAAGGACATCAAGACAGTTGGTCATTCGGGAAGGATACTTGAAGCGGTCTTTCAGCAGAAGCTCAAGAGAAAGCTGACCCTTCAGATAATCAAACCCTACCTTACAAGCGAGGGCAACTTTGACCTTACCTAGGTAACTACCGCAATATCTCTCAATTATCGCAGTCTCAAACGCTTTCGACTCCAGATGGGCTATCAGGGTCCCAAGCTGTTGAACCTGGGCAAAGAAGGAATTACGCTGCAGCTTGGCCTCAGTAGTCAAGAGAGCAACTTCATGGCAAAGGGTCCCCTAAAGGGCCATCTTCTCATTCAGTTCGGCCTGTAGCTCTTCCCCCTCGGTTCGAGCAAAACGAGCCCTTTCGAAGGCATCCTCCTTTTTCTTGGACTGGACTTCGAATTCGAGGTATGCCAGCCTCTCCTCTGTAAGTCCCATATCTTGACGAGCGTGGTTGAGATCCTTCTTAAGGCCCTCACCTCATAGGCCCGCTTTAGCTGAGCCTCGCTGCGTTGAGCTTCAGTTACAGCTACCTTCAGCTCCTTATCTTTTTAGGTCAGCTCTCACTCCTTCAGAACTCGGACTTGCTTGAACTCATCAAGCTCACTACCTTTAGCGGCGGCCACTAGTTCGGCAGCCTCACGAGTTTCCCTTTGAGACTTTAACTTTGCTCAGAGCTTGAAGAAGAGCTCCTGATAAATTTCATGTTGTCGAAACGACTCAAACTCTAGGAGAGCCCCTTGGGTGAAATAGTTCCGGAGAGCGTAATGAAGACCAACATCGGGGATCTCGCTCTACAGAGCCTCGTTAGCTAGAAGAATGTGCTGCTTCATTGCCTTGTTCTGGTTGGCTTGAGACTCCAAGACTGACCCTATGACATCCATTTGACGCTCCAGGATAAGAGGACGCTCTTTCGATTCCCCTTCATAGCGAGGTCCGGATTTCAGACTCATGAAGGCAGCACGCATCCCCTCCTAAGTGCAGGGGTGGAGGTCATTGATACGATGGGGAAACAATGGGGAAAGGGGCATTCGTATTGACCCTCATGTATAGCGACTGGGAGAATCCTCGATCCTAGAGCAATCCGCTTATAAGCCTCTACAACCGGATCCTTAATAGCAAGGGCTTTACTAGGTCTTCTGGACGACCCAATCCTCTCCCCTAGTATGGTCAGTACCTCCTCCCGTCCGATCGACACCTCTTTAGCTACGACCACGAATGGATATTTACTTCCTATTGGCTCCATAACAAAGATGTCTCCCTCTCTAACTTCCTCTTTAGGAACCGTGTGAGGAGAATCACCTTCCACCTCGATGTACTCAAGCGGAGTGCGAGAAGATTCTGGGGTCTTAACCCCGCTAATCGACCCGGGCGTGGCTTCGATTTCCCCGAGTGTAGCCTCAACTGCCTCGTCTTCAAGAGAAGAGAGCTCCCGCGTGCTGCTCTCAACCTGGCTGGAAGCAGCCTTCTTCCTCTTCTTGAACCCCTCGGCCTAAGCAGCAGATTTGCTCAAACCAAGTTTAGCAGTTATATCAACGGCAGGTTGCTGCTACAAGGGTGGGAGGCCCACTGCCTCTAGATTGCTACGGAGTCGCTTCCGAGGCACAGGATGAGAGCCAAGATGAGAGCCCTCCATCAGTTGCTTGTCTACATACAACACAGCTGCACTATCAAAGGTCTGCCTCAGAAATATAAACAAAAGATATGCTGGCAGTACAAAGGACGGGGTTGTCGAATAGATTCTCTCAGCACCATGACCCCTTATAGGCGTGAATTCTCTCCAAGCATCGCAACTCCTCGACCGAAATGGTCCCTGATCGGGCCCTCTTTGATCTCCGACCATGTGGTACAAGCCAGGATCAGGTCAACGCCTATGACGAAGAAATTTTTTTCCTACCATCCTTTATTCGTCTTAGGGATGTTGGACACAATGCGGTAGTCACCCATCGTTTTCAGATAAAAGTGACCCTCCCTTTTGCCAACTTTGACGCAGACCAAACGACCTGGCATGCACAATGTCGGTCTGACGTCTACTTGGTGCAAGATAATGAAGAAGCTCACCAAAAAAAGCAATGGAGTTTAGTGCCAATTGCGCCAATGCAATCCCTAAAGCCCTAAAGACTTTTTGTAGGAATGGATGTAACGGCAAGCAGAGGTCGTAGTCGAGATGGTGTTAGTACAACGACGCTACACCTCCGACGTGGTGATAGATGAACTAATCTCTTGATGGAGCTGATCGTGTGTAGGCGTTAGGATGTCATTATCTAGAGCATATTGCTCCAAACAGCTCGTAAGCACCTTCAAGTGTTATGGGCGCAATAAGGTGATTCTAGGCTCATTGCGAGTCATAACAGGTTGAGCACCGGAAGCCATCCAAGCAGGAGAAGAGGTGATTGGAATGTGGCGAAAATTTTAATGAAGGTGTGCTCGCAAAGCGAAATAAAAGCCTCGGGTTTCTAGTGTTTTTAGCAAAGTAAAGAGGAGAAGAAGAAAGAGGAATAGTATATATAAGCTAAGGGGAGTGACACGTGGCAAGAAACTGATGGATAACACGGTTTACGGGAAAACCACTGGCGATTTTTGAAAACCAAAGCGACATCCCGTCAAACGAGGCGCCACTTGCTAAATTGTCACATGATCTTCGCTGATGTTAGAAGCGTCAAATCACAGCTGTCTTCTAGCAAGAACGGACGGGGTTTCAACATGGTGCGCTTCATTTTCTCTCGAACTTGACTTCCAGAGTCCAAGTGAAAAGTGGCTAATGTTATACCCTGAAAATTATCAAGACCAAGAAGAGCGGCCCCATGATAATTAACTGATCGACACATCCACAAGCATGACCTAAATGGTGAGCTGACCGACTCGCCTCGTGATCAGGATCCGAGGCAAAAATCGCTCCTGACCCGGATCCCGCTGGATGTCTGAGACGAAGGGCGTTCTCCATTCGGACCAAACACAAGACGTCTCAAATAATGGAACGACCTGATAAGCATCATTAAAAGTCACAATTGCACAGTTAGCACACGTACCTCGCTGCCCAGTCACAATCAAGCAATTAGTACAATGTTAGTCATTATGATCTTTCAAGCTAGATCCTTGAAAACTCCTCGGACACGCCATTACTCCAACAGTCCCACCTTTGTGCAAAGGCGACTCAACTAATCAGTTGCCAACACGTGTAAAGTAGGGCCTAAACCAATATTGCACACTCGGCTGAATTACCTATATCCCCTGTAAATCCTCTGTAAATAATGACGGTTTCCACTAAATCAAGGTATGCATTTTTACACATAAAAAGTCAAGAAGACTATACTCTATTTTTCTTTTTAGATTACTAGAAATAGTCACCGACTTTAGCGTCCGAGGGCACGCTGGAGGGAACAACCTCTAATGCCTCTAACCTCTGTTATCTATGTAGCGATAAATAGCGCAAAGATTCAAAACAGGAGAATCAACCGTTAAAGGTGATTAAGGGACTCAAAAATTGAGTTTAACCCTCCTAAATCACACATCAATTTCGCGACGTAAACAAAGGCTTCTGATTGCGAGGACTATTTCTTGTGATCTTTTTTTAGACCATTTGTCTGCTGTTAGCTATGCCTATTATTGGCATAAGGTATGCTGTCTAAAAGGCTAAGGCTCGGGCTTTCAAAGAGATTATGATCGAAAGTATAAGAGATGAATTTGTAGTTTGTGTAAAATTTTCAGAGGTGGCCAGTCCTGTTGTTTGAAAGTTGTGTATTTTAATCCAAAACATCATGTTATGAGCAATATTCATATTTTAATCCAAACCATCATGCTATGAGCAAAATATTCATACATTCTTTGAGGTGGTTGCGGTGTTGCTTGAGAGCTTGCTGTGTACTCTAATTCAGCCTATTATACCCTTCTCCGTGAAATAAGCATAAATATACGTAAATATTTTGCGACTATCTTGTCTTGGAGACATAAACTAGTATTTTCTTCACATTGATTATGTCTTTTGAATATTGTCTTTATCTGAATTAGAGGATTTTGGGATTAGCATTCTGGTTCATGGGTGTTTAATGTGCATATTTTTATTAGGTTCAAAGTGATGCTATTGAGCAGCAGATATTCCTAACTTCGTTCGCATCTGGTATATAAATGGATGATTATTTTATCCGTCTTCTTAGATTGGCGTCGTGCATAAGCCACCGACTTGTTAGCTTTATTGGTGAGTTTCTTTCAATTGTAGTACATGATTTCTTTTTCTTGTTGTTAGTTTGAACTTTCTTACTGTATATAAAAGTTATCATTTTTGTTCTGAATTCTATATTTTGGCAGTTGCATTCACTGGTGCCCAAGTTTGTGAACATTGGGTACTGTCAAGTGCTCGTGTGGTGTTCAGAAAGGTCACTATTTGTGTGGTGTATTGTGTAAATCAACTCAATAAATGTTTCATTTCTTTGAGCATGCAATTGCATTGCCGTATCATCGTGTCATCATCTCCATAACAATCACTTAAATATTTTCCCTTCAAATGAAGCCTCTTCCTTTGAAAATAGTGTAGGCTGCATAGCAAGGCTTTATGGAGGATTTGAGAAAGTTTTACGATCAGCAACTAACTTGACCCCGCTCTTACTAATCTATCCAAGAAAACCATGGAGAAGAGAGGGGTTTGAATAATCCTAAAAGAGCACCAGACATCCTCCAAATTCTCTTAGGACAGGGAAATGCTCTAGCATAAGAAAGATAAAAAAATTGCAATAAAAACTTACATTCAATTCTTGAGGCGCACGTAAACTTGAGAGCCAAATAGACATGTCCAAGTAACATGTGATTTTTCTCTTTATAAACTGTTGTTTCATATTTTTGGGGTAGTATAAAACTATGACACAATGATACTTCTGCAGAGGATCTCTTTTTTGGTCATGATGGAAGATTCTCACATGATCCAGAGGTTTCAGTCTCTGGATCTCATGGAAGATCCTTCAGCGCCGTAGCTCAATCTTCTCAAAATGATTGTTCGACAGCTTCTGAAAATGTAGACACCAAGCTATGTCTTGTCAAGCGTGGAAGGAAATTGACAGCCCGAAATGAGTATCTGTCTGAAAATGGAAGTTTTGGAGCACGTGCTGTAAGAAGAACTAGGTCTTGCATTCATCAGTGGTACAGATTCCTCTCATTTTTTCTTTTTTCACTAATGAAATTATTGGATAGTTAATCAGTGTTGAAATTTTTTAGTCTTTACAATTTGGTCCTGATGCAATATCATTGAAGCATGACATTTTTACTGAATTTTATATTTTTTATAAATTTATACTTATGTTAAACCATCAACTTTAGTTCAGAAATAGGTTAGGTAACTGCACACAGTATCTTAAATCAGAAGAAAAAAGTGTCCCGGGCCATAATATCTCAAATCATTAGAAACAAATGTCCGGTGTCAGCTCAGTAATAGGTTGTGTAATTGCCCATAATGTCTTAAATCAGAAGAAAAATGTGTCTCAGGGTCTAGAGCAAAACTTTATATTTATTTGATTTCAAGTCCAACTCGATTCTAAGTAAAGAAACTTTCCATATCCTCAGGTTCTATTCTATATTTTGTTTTTCCATATCAAGAAGTCACATCTTGTAGTTTGGATGACTGTGAGAATAATATACTGCTTGTCGACATTCTTTCTATTCCACCTTCCTTTCTAAAAATCCTTTTCAAGCTTCCCTCTTCAAACATGGATGAGTGAATGGACATATCATAGTTAAAGGAGCAATAAACTCTACCTATGAAGCACCGACACTCCAAAACAAGCCCCGAGTCCATCTCCGACGCGCGTCGGACGCGGACACGCGTTCGACACGCGTTCGACACGCGTCGGACACGCGGTAAACGGCGGCAACACGGGTAAGCGCGAAGCACGGGAGAAGCCTTCAGCGGATGATTGTTCGACCGGGGAGCGAAAAAAGAGAACTACGAACTCAACCAACACTATTTATCACGATCGGTGTCTACCTTTCATTGATCGCGCACGGCGGAAAGAACGGACAGTTCAGCTCGCCTTGTCCTTGTCGGAGAGTCATCTGGCTCGTCCTTTGGGTTTCGTCGGCTCGCTTATTCCTCGTCTCTCGTCGCTATGTTAGCTTCTTCGATTGTCTCTGTCTCTTTGATTCTTCATCTCTCTCTCTCCCTCCCTCGATCTCTCTCTCTCTCTCTCTTAGTCTCGATCTATCTCTCTCTCTCTCTCATCTCTTCCTCTCTCTCTGATTCTCTCTCTTTCTCGATCTCTGATTCACTCTCTCTGTTTTGTGTGCGACAGCTGGCGTGACTTCTGTGCAGCCATGTGCGGTGCTTCTGGAATCACGTGGGAGAGAGTGGGGCTATTGAGATATTTTGTTTATTATATTCTAAATATTGAGATTTAGGGGGGAGAAAAGGAATATAAATTAGTTTGATTGAGCTTGTTGGGGTTAGCTTTTAGAAATGCGAGGTCATGGGTGGTCGGATGCAGCAAAGAAGTTTGTTTTGATGTTTCGGGGACCGGGACACGTGTTCGTCACTGGTCTTTCGAATGAGAGACCAATGTTTTAAATATCAGATGTCGGGTTCATGCCGACCGACTGAAATCCATGTCAGATAGCGGAAATCGGGGATATCTCAGGGGACATGGACTAAATATCGGATTGCTATATCGGGTGGTGCGTATATGTATAATATCATATCCTAAATATAATCTAAGCATTCCTAAATTCAATATAAGCATACTTTATGAATTTTATAGACTAGACATATAAAAAAGTAAATAATCCCTTTTACTTAACAAATGTAAACAGATTTAAAAAATGTAGACAAATTTGTCATTAGTGAGTAGCACAGAGAGCAAAGTCCTTGAAATAATCCCTTGGGAAAAATGCTTCCAGGTCCCAAAAGCCAAGTGAACATGCTTCCCACCCCCAGGACTTGGTCAATGAGTGTTTTACCCCTAAAAATAAAGAATCTGTTCTCTGAGCCCCCAAAACACAAAACCTAAGACATTAAAACATATGAAGACCATAATACCCTTCTCTCTCTCTTTCTTTTTTTATTAAAATATGATGGGGAATTATTTTATTATTTTTGTTTTCTCTCTCTTTATCATGATGTACCAAGAGAATAGTTGAAATGATTGATGAGGATTATTTTATTATTTTTGTTTTTTATTATTTTGGTTGTTTGTATTGGGAGGTTGTTAAAGTTACGGGTTGATTGTTAAAGTTATGAGTTGGTTGCTAAGGTTAAGGGTTTGTTGTTAAGGTTATGAATCCTCTCTCTCTCTTTCTTTTTTTATTAAAATATGATGGGGATTATTTTATTATTTTTGTTTTCTCTCTCTCTTTATCATGATGTACCAAGAGGATAGTTGAAATGATTGATGAGGATTATTTTATTATTTTCGTTTTTTATTATTTTGGTTGTTTGTGTTGGGAGGTTGTTAAAGTTACGGGTTGATTGTTAAGGTTACGGGTTGGTTGTTAAGGTTAAGGGTTTGTTGTTAAGGTTGTGGATTTGTTGTGTAGGTTACGGATTTGTTGTTAAGGTTACGGGTTTAATTGTTAAGGTTACGGGTTTAATTGTTAAGGTTACTGGTTTAATTGTTAGGGTTACCTATCTAAAGATCCTCTTGGTACATCATGATAGAGAGAGAGAGAGAGAGAGATAGAGAGAGAGAAATAATAAAATAATCCCCCATCATATTTTAATAAAAAAAGAAAGAGAGAGAGAAGGGTATTATGGTCTTCACATGTTTTAATGTCTTGGGTTTTGTGTTTTGGGGGCTCAGAGAACAAAATCTTTATTTTTAGGGGTAAAACACCCATTGACCAAGTCTTAGGAGTGGGAAGCACGTTCACTTGGTTTTTGGGGGCTGGAAACATTTTTCCCTAATCCCTTTTACTTAACAGCTAGCGGTGAGTAGCACAGAGAGCAAAGTCTGAAAAAAATAAGTCTGAAAAAATGTAAACTGAAAAAATGTAAACTGATTTGTCATTAGAGAGAGAGAGAGGGGGGTCAGGACTCAGGGAGGCTTACCTGACGGCTGAAGCTAGCGACGAAGATGAGAGGGAGGCTTCGATGGCTTCGGCTTCGGATTTCAAGGGCGAAGAGGAGAAGGCGGCTTCGGCTTCGGATTTC